ACCACGGCATGTCTTTACGTCGTCCTTCAAAATATTCAATGAGTGGTAACAGCTCAGGGTCACTGCGCTGCTCTCGTGCAATAGTGGCCGTGTTGACAACTCCCAAGAATGCCGCGTCGATGTTTTCGTCATCAGGAGCGACAGTTTCCACTGGCGACCGTGAGAGACAGTCGGCGTCGGTGTGCCTCTTCCCAGATTTGTAGACGATGGTCATGTCAAACTCTTGAAGTCTTAGGCTCTAGCGCGCCAAACGACCAGATGGATCTTTAAGGTTGGTGAGCCAGCACAAAGAGTGATGGTCGCTAACAACCCTGAAGGAGCGGCCGTACAAATACGGGCGAAATTTGATGACTGCCCACACCACGGCGAGACACTCCTTCTCGGTGGTCGAGTAGTTCTCCTCCGTGCAAGAGGGAGTTCTGCTGGCGTAGGCTATTACTCTTTCACAGCCGTCTTGCCACTGCACCAGAACGGCACCTAGACCTACATTGCTGGCGTCAGTGTGAAGTACTTTAGGGGCGCCCTGGTCGAAGTGCGCAAGGACTAGAGGTGTTTGCAAGCGTTGTCGCTGTTCATTGAATGCCATTTGCTCCTGTTCACCTCAAAAGAAGGGGACGTCCTCACGTGTGAGTCGTGTCAATGGCGACGCAATAGACGAAAAGTCCTCGATAAATCGCCGGTAATAGGCGCACAACCCTAAGAAGCGTCTCACAGCCTTTTTGTCACGGGGTGCAGGAAATTGCGCTACGGCGTCTATTTTGGCCGGGTCAGGTCGAACACCCTCGTGACTGACGACGTGGCCTAGGAAGCTGAGTTCGTTGAAACCAAAATGACATTTTTCTGGTTTTAAAGTCAGGCCGGCCTAGCGTATGGCTTGGAGTACGGTGGATAGACGGCTGAGATGTTCCTCGAATGATGCTGAGAATACAACAACATCGTACAGATAGACCAAGCATGTTTGCCACTTCAGGCCCGATAGTACGGTGTCCATTAGACGCTGAAAATGGCTGGCGCTGAGCACAACCCAAAAGGAAGCACCTTAAATTCGTAAAGGCCATCAGGCGTCACAAAGGCCGTTTTTTTACGATCTCCCTCGTCGACTTCTATCTGCCAGTAGCCGCTTCGGAGGTCCATTGAAGAGAAATAGCGCGCATGACGCAGCCGATCGAGTGAATCGTCTATGCGAGGCAGTGGATAGACGTCTTTCTTCGTGACTTGGTTCAACTTGCGATAATCAATACAGAAACGCAAGCTGCCGTCTTTTTTCTTGACCAAAACCACGGGGAACGCCCAAGGACTTTTCGAAGGTTGTCTGACAACATTTACGAGCATCTTCTGTACTTGCCTCTAAATCTCCTCGCGTTCTTTCGGAGCCACACGATAGGGGTTCTGCCGAATCGGTCGCGTGTTGTCTTCAGTAATGATGCGGTGCTTGGTCAATGGTGTCCGCTGGACCTTTGACGTACGCGAAAAGCACTCTTCGAATTGGTGTATAAGTCCAAGCAGACGCTTCCTATCAGAGGGCGGTAGCGTGGAGCAGATGTCCACCGACAAAGTTGTCGAGGCAGGGACTGTCGCGTCATCTGGTTGCAAAACACAGCAATCGCCGGCTTGGTCTATATCGTCGAAGTAGGCAATCGCGGTACCCTTCTGGATTTGACAGTGCTCGTTGCTGAAGTTTGTAAGGAGCACTTCTGCCTGCCCACCAGTAAGCGTTAGTATGCCTCTCGCGATGGAAATGCCTTGCGTGAGCAAAAGAGCGACTATGTGCTCCACTATCACAACCTTATAGGAAGGCCACCCACTGGACACAGACACAAGGCAGCAGGATCTCGGTGGGAGCGTCACATCGTCGGCTATTCGCTAACTGCCGCGTAGTTCGCAAAACGTCACCATACGTTGAGGGATGTTGATAACAGCGCCATGATCTCGAAGAAAATCCATGCTCAAAATTAGCTCTTTACAGCAGTCTGGCAACAGGACGAAAGTGGCCAAAAAGCTAGAATCCCCAATGCGAAGTCGAGCGGTGCATTTACCCGTGGGAATCATCAGCTGAGCACCAGCACTCCTTATGTGTGGCCCTGTCCACGGTGTCTTGACCTTTCTAAGGCGGTCGGCGAGTTCTTGTCGCATGATTGAGAAGTCGGCGCCAGTGTCGACCAGTGCTGTAACGTAATGTCCGTCAATGAAAATGCCAAGATCAGCACGTACAACTTCACCGGCATTAGTATTCGTCGTCGTATTCGTCGTCGTATTCGTCGTCGTATTCATCGTCGTATTCGTCGTGGTTGTCGTCATATCTTCTTGCGATGATAGGGGGAACTTTTTGGTGTCTCGACAATTGGCAACCTCACCCCCGGAGGTCGCAGCAGTTAGTTTCCCCGGCGCGGGCTAGGCGAACGGCCTCTGGTGACGCCCGCGTAGCTCTGAGGGAAGTCATGGTGACGCGCAGGAGATGGAGATCGCCAGCGACGCGGTGTAGTTGCTTGGCCAGTCGACAGTTGATCGGCATCGTGGGCACGACGGTCTTCAGAGCGGAAAGAAGCGGGACGAAGAAAAGTTCCCGAAGCCGGAATCGCTATGACGGCAATAGCGTTCTCCGCAGCGGAAGCAAATAGGTCGACGGTCGGCCATGCGCCACAAGTCAGTTCGGCGAACTGGTGGTCGTCTCATGGAATCCCGTTGCCACCAAGGTACGGCCGCGGGTCGTGGCTGGAAGGGTGTCGCCACAAATGACGGTGGAGGACGACGGAACACATCAGCGTAGCTCGCTGGATGTGGCTCAGGACTTGGCGCCGGCTTGCCTCAACGGCTTGCTTCAACCCTTGGAGGACGAATTCGGCAACAGATCCGACGGGCGGTTGGGTAGGAGGGACGCAGAGGGCCCGAAGTTCCTCACGCAGTATTTCCCTAATCATTTGTCGCAGGGAACTTTCACACACGGCAGTGTTCTGAGCTGTCGCACTTACTGCCGTGTGGTTCGGCAGGCGGTCAAAGTGTCGGTATCGTTGTCGCAGTGCGCGCTCGATGACAGTCGCCTCTCTTATGAATTCATCTACTGTTGTAGGTAGATTTCGTACGAGGCCCGCAAACACTGGTTCTTTGACACCCTGCATTAGGTGACGCACCTTCTTCGCCTCGGGCATGTCAGGGTCAGCTCGTCGAAACAGACGGATCATACCCTCTGTGTACATGGCAGCTGTTTCGTTGGGTTTTTGTGCGCGAGCCTCAACCAGTTGCTGTGCGCGATCCCATCGGTCCGTGTTCAAAAATGTGGCGAGGAGCTTTCGATGGAAATCTTCCCAAGATTGGAAAATAGCCTCGTGGTTCTCGTACCACGTGCGAGCACTATCTTCCAGGGCGAAATATGCACGGCCAAGTTTGTGCTGTTTGGTCCAGTGGTTAGATACAGCGAAACGTTCGAACTGTTCAAGCCAGTCCTCGACATCCTCGTACTCTTCCCCATGGAAAACTTCAGGAACGCGAGGATGTTCAAGAGTCACCTGCGAGGGAAGAGTGGTCTGCGATGGAAGGGTAGCCGTGGATGTGGTAGGAGCTGCCATGCTGGTTAGAGGCGGAACAGGTGCGGACTCCGGACTTAGGCCTAGTAGGCGCCGACTGAATCGGTGCACCGGAGTCGTGACGAGGGGCTGGGTCTCTCGACTAGGTGAACGGGTCTGAGCAAGACTGTCTTGCATCCGGTTGTAGGCTCCAGCACCTCCACCAGTGTCACGACGTCAAAACAGAGGCCTTGCAGTAGAGACTGAGACACCAGAAGCAGGTCGATCTTTTTAATTAGAACGCGCAAGCGAGTTCTTCTTCTTCGTCAATTTCGTAGTCCTTCGCGGCACATGCACAACTGTCATCGTCTTTCTTGAGCAAGCACGTGACCATATCATATACCCGGACACTTCGTAGCACGACCTCTGCAGAGAGGTTTTCGCTGCAGTGGCTACACAACAAAGCACTTGCCTCACGGCCCTCGGACGCAAGGGTATGAACGAGTGAGGCACTTGTGCTAATGCCATACATGTCCACCATCGTTTTTATTATCAGCAACTTTTGTCATCTATTCGCACCACACACACCTTTCACGGAATGGTCATGATTTTATTACTTGTATGTTTTTACCCGCCTTACCGCGAGGAATTTTATGGCCCCTATACAGCCGCTAATCACAATCTTTGTCCACATTTCTTGTCCCATGAACTGGCGCTCTTTGGCCATCAAATGGCCTTTGCGCCAAAAACACCATATATCATCATCATACTGAATTTGGTATCGCGTCGTGACGTGATTAGATGACGAAGGTAAACGACACATCCAAACATGACAATCATGGCACGTAAGTCATGTACGGCATGATTTACCTCCACCTCGTAATGCTGTGCTGATTTTAAAGTGACATACCAACATTTCTCATTTATGCTTCGCATACCATCGATTGCCACAGTACGTTGGATCTGCCATTTTTTTACCCCTCTCTGTCCACGCGCGTACTTTTAAAACGCCCGCTGCGTGCCACAGCGTTCGTGTGCGACGCGGACCGCGTGTCACTGTAACATAGTAAACGTGTTACTCAGTAAACGAGGCACATCCCTGGTGTTGGAATGTGGCACACGTGCACGAGACCTCGATGTTGCGCACATGCGCAGCGTTTAAGTACGAGATTGGTCAGAGAAAGGCTCGTGGCACGTGACCAAGCTGTGCTGGAAAATTACGGAGGATGAGCATGCACTGTGCTGTGGCTCGAGCTTCGACCTGTGGAGGTCACGAAGGTGAGCATCGCTACAATGACGAAAGCAGCAGCTGCCCCGTTTCAAAGGATGTGGGCGTAAGAAGGCCGGAAAGGAACCATCGACCTCTGAGGTCCCGAGTGAGGCTGCCCAGACTTGCGGCACCTGGCACAGCAGTTTTTGGGTCTGAGCCAACCGTCAAATATCTACTGAAGTCGACTCACAATGGATCTAGGAAATAAAATAACGGCTGCCAGTCATCTATGAAGTTTCAGATTGTTTATTTTAAAATTCATTTTCTTAACCTAGTTTGTAGGGTTTACACTCACGGTGTGTATTAAAAACAGAATTGACGACCCGGTCACACAGGCAGGGATACTCGCATTTCGACGGTCCATGATTGCAGGTTGGGCTCTGAAAGAGACGTAGAAGCATTAGATCATCTGCCATCTTTCAACATCCTATATATCTTACAAGCATATAAATATATATATATATATATATATATATATATATATATATATATATATATATATATATATATATATATATATATATATAGTGTGCATTGTTTATGCGTCCCATCTTTTCATCTGTACACTGTACATACTCATCGTCACTAGTCAAGCTTAGATTGTAAGGCACATACTCGAGACAATAAAGAAGAGTCTTGAGGATACTGGACGCCATCTTACAAGTGGTGGAGAGTGCTGCCCGATTCCTGCGTTCTCTCGCGCTCTCGGACAACCCCAGCGTCTTCTAGAACACATCCCTTGACCTCCGTTCAGGCCGCCGCATAAACGACCTGGGTTCGGTAATGTCGCAAGCCGACCAGCCCAGCGCAGCAGCTGCGCCACCGCTCGCACCGCCAAGAAACCCTTCTCACCTGGTCACCAGCCCTCAAAAGGATCCTCCGCTGTTCGCAGGGCTTCCGTGGAAGATTGGAAGACTGGCTCGAAGAGTATGACCACGTGAGTGCCATCAACAACTGGGATGAGCCTGCGAAACTCACCCACGTTGCATTCTACTTGAGCAGCGTCGCAAAAACGTGGTTTTTAAACCACGCGACAGATTTTTTGACATGGCGCGCCTTTACGTGCCAGCTCCGCCAGATTTTCGCCAACCCGTCGGTGCGCTCGGATATCGCCATGAAAAAGGCTCGGTGCACGTGTTCAAAGCCCCGGCGAGTCTTGCACTTCTTACATTGAAGATGTTCTCGCCCTTTGCCGCCGCATCGACAACCATATGGCGGAAAACGACCATGTGCGCCACCTGCTAGAAGGCATTGCAACTGTCGCTTTTAAGGCGCTTGAGGTGCAGAATCCCCAGACCGTAGCCGATGTTGTAGCTACCTGTCAGCGCCTCGAGGAGCTTCAAACCACTCGGGTGCAACCTGATATGGCTGATCTCAGTTCGAGTCATGAGACAAAAAAGCTGGGTGCATTGATCCGCTCTATCATCCGCGAGGAACTTCATGCACAGGCTTCACCTCGCCCCCTTGATATCCGAACGACGCCACCTGCTAATAGTTTACGCGACATCGTGAGGGAGGAAGAGGCATTGATCACAGGTACACCAGTTCCGAGTTCACATCCCGTGCCCATTCAAAGTTATGCTCACGTTGCTGCAACGACACCTGCGCCCCAGCAAAGCCTGGCCTCGATGACTATCTCACCAGTTCCGAGCTCATATCCTGTGGCCAGGCCAAATTATGCTCAAGTTGCTGCTAGGACACCTGCACCCCAGCAAAGCCCAATGCAGCTACCAGCGGCCGAATTGCTTGGTTCGCTCAACTCACTCGCACCGCGACCATCTTCCCAGCCTTACAACGACTGGCGCACTATGCGGCCGACTTGCTTGTATTGTGGCATCCGTGGTCACATTTCAAGGTTTTGCCGACGCCGTCAGCGAGACAAAAGACGAAGCTACGATAACTTTGAACGGGACGACTTCTATCCCACTGGACCACCCTATCGCCGACTGTATCAGAACAGCACACGTCGGTCGCCGTCTCCGCAAACTTTGGCTCAGTTGGCAGTTCCCGTTTCTCACGTCAACGCTCACCTTCACCGATGCGGCGTTCCTCTTCTCTCCGACCTTCTGCTTCAATTTCTGACCGCCAACTGGAAAACTAAACAGTGCAGCTTCGGAAGGGAAAGCTGCATCTTTCGAACTGCGTCAAACTCCTCCGGACCACCCATCGAAAGTTTTATTATTGTACATTGAAGGTATGCAGACAGAGGCACTGGTGGACACAGGCGCATCACTTTCCGTAATTCGTGCAAACTTTTGTGCCCGCTTGAAAAAAGTTAGGACGCCATACGATGGCCCTCCCCTTCGTTGCGCAGATGGAGTCCCTATTCAGCCTTCAAGTGTTTGCACAGTCCGCGTTTTCATAGATGGCATCCTTCACCACATTCAGTTTCTTGTACTTCCTTGGTTCATTCACACAGTAATTTTAGGATGGCACTTTCTTTCTTCGGCATCAGCTTTCATATCATGTCGTCAGGGAATAATTGATATGACAGCTACTGAGAGTTCATCCGATGTTGATCCATACAGCTTCCGTTTCGTTGCGGCCGCTAATTGTTTCATTTCGCCAGGAGATGAACAAATTCTCACGATCACTTCGGGTACAATAGCTAACGCTGACGTGTTGATAGCCCCATCAGTTCGCTCCAAACCTGCGGGGCTTACCATAGCACCCGGTCTTGTGCGGTTTAACGTCAGTGAAGCATTGGTCACCGCCTTGAACTCAACTTCATCGCCAGTGATGCTGCCTCAAGGCACTGCTGTGAGCTGCTTCGCTGACAGCAAGCCTTTTTCGCTGGTTTCCCTTCACGCAGAATCAACGCCTTTGTCTACTACAACTGATATGAAGGCTACCACTGTTGCTTTAAATGACACCATAAGTCCTCACCTCAATGCCGAGCAAAAGAGAGACCTCTTAGACCTTCTCCAAAAACACAGCCTTTTGTTTGACGTACATACCAAAGTTCTGGGCCACACCTTCCTTGCAGAGCGCAGCATCGAAGCCGAAGGCAGCTCCATTGTACGCCGCCGCCCATACCGTCTGTCTTCGGCGGAACGGCAAATATTGAGGAAAACGTCACCGACATGATCATATGGGGTATTATTCGACCTTCATCCAGCTCTTGGTCGTCTCCTGTGGTGTTGGTCCAGAAAAAGGATGGCTCTCTCCGCTTTTGTGTTGATTACAGAGCGCTCGATAAGATCACAAAAAAAGACGTATATCTGTTGCCACGCGAAGATGATGCCCTGGACTGCCTACAAGGCGCAGAATATTTCTCCAGCCTCGACCTCCGATCCGGGTATTGGCAAATACCTATGCGCGAAGCAGACAAGGAGAAAACAGCGTTTGCGACGCCTGACGGGCTTTACGAATTTAATGTCATGCCTTTTGGGTTATGCAACGCACCAGCAACATTCGAGCGCATGATAGATACCGTCTTACGTGGTCTCAAATGGAAGACCTGTTTATGTTACTTAGACCACATCGTAATTTATTCTTCTACTTTTCCACAGCACCTTAAGCGTTTGGACGAAGTTCTAACGTGCATTTAGAACGCTGGTCTACAGCTCAATACAAAGAAGTGCCACTTCGCCAGCACAAGCATCAAAGTATTGGGTCTCCTTGTCAGCAAAGATGGCGTTCGACCCGACCCCGACAAGGTTGCTGCCGTAATTAGTTTTCCACGTCTGGGCAATCAAAAATAATGCGAAGTTCCGTGGGCCTGGCGTCTTACTTCCACCGCTTCATCCGTCATTTCGCTGCCATGGCGGGGCCGTTACAAAAGCTTATGACGTCAGGAACGGCTTTCACGTGAACTGACAAGTGCGAGTGTGCTTTCTAAGCCTTTAGGTGTGCTCTGACATCAGAACCCGTCCTCCGTCACTTCGATGACAGTGCACCAACTTTCCTGCAAACAGATGCCAGTGGCCACGGAATCGGTGCTGTCCTCCTCCAGCGCGATGAAACATCACGTGAGCGAGTAGTTGCGTATGCCAGCCGCGCACTAACACCTGCGGAGCAGAACTACTCGATAACAGAGCAGGAATGTCTTGCTGTCGTTTGGGCCATCCAGAGATTTCGACGTTATCTGTATGGACGCCACTTCACTGCGATCACTGACCACCATGCCCTATGCTGGTTGTCCTTGCTGAAGAATTTCTCTGGACGCCTCGGTCGCTGGATACTGCGTTTGCAAGAGTACACTTTTGACGTTGTGTACAGGTCTGGCAAACAGCATCAGGATGCTGACGCTCTCTCTCGCTGCCCTCTGCCACTTTCATCTCCAACCACAAATCCTCAATGCCCCTCAGGTGATCAAGTGGCTTCCTCTTCAGCCACGTGATCACCCCTGGCCGTTGCTGGGTCAGTATCTTTAAACAACAGCGCCCAGTTCGCCGCGTGCCAACGTGACGACCCCTACTGTGACCGCATCATCGGATACTTGAATGGCTCGTCTTCTCCACCTAATGCCAGACTACGTCGCAGGCTAAGGCAGTTCAGGCTAGAGAACAACGTCCTGCAGCGCTATACTTACAATGCGGATGGGCATCGGTGGGTGCCAGTACTTCCCCGTTCGCTGGGAAAACGAGTTCTCGAAGCATTGCATGACGACCCATCAGCTCGACACTTTGGATTTCAAAAGACCTACAACCGCGTGAGGAGCCGTTTCTTTTGGCCTGGTCTTTCTACCTTTGTGTCCAATTATGTCGCTTCTTGCACACTTTGTCAACGCCGGAAACGACCAACTTCAGCTCCTGCTGGCCTACTACAACTCATTCCATGTCCCGATACACCTTTTGTCGTTGTCGGAAAGGACCTCGTCGGGCCACTTCCCGTAACGCCAGCAGGCCACCGCTGGATCGTCACAGCTGTCGACCACCTCACACGATACGCGGAGACTGCTCCTCTACGCACTAGCTCTGGATCAGACGTTGCCGCCTTCTATTTAGAAGCCATTGTGTTGCGTCTTGGTGCACCCCGCGCGTTGTTGAGTGACCGAGGCAAGGCCTTCCTGTCTACTATTCTCGATGAAATCCTAAAAACGTGTGGCACAGTTCATAAGACCACATCCGCTTACCACCCGCAGACAAATGGCCTGGCAGAGCGATTCCACTGGACTCTAATCGACATGATATCCATGTACATCAGACCTAACCACGATAACTGGAACAAAATCTTGCCATTCGTAACATTTGCACACAACACCGCTGTTCAACGAACCACCGGGTATTCACCTTTCTTCCTCGTCTATGGTCGTGCGCCGACATTCACCCTTGACGCCTCTTTCTTCTATGTAACGACAAAAACGTCCACGACTACGCCAAAACATTTCGTTTTCAGGCTCGCTGAGGCACGGCAGCGTGCTCAACTCAACACGGAGGCTAGTCAACAAGACCGCAAGCAATGCTATGACAGCTTCCGTCAAGACGTCACTTTCCGTCCTGGAGATGAAGTATTACTTTGGACGGCTGTTCGCACTCCAGGATTGTGTGAAAAGTTTCAGTCACGCTTTCTCAGACCTTACGTTATTACTGAACGGACATCTCCTGTCAATTACCTTGTCACTCCCGTCGAGGGTTCCTCGGACCGTCGTTACCGTGCCTCCGAGATAGTCCACGTTTCACGTCTTAAACCCTTTGTTCGCCGTACATTTCCCGCCTAAGTCTCAGCCGGGCCGGCCGCTCAAGTACGCGGGGAAAATAAGTGTGAGCATTGTTTATGCATCTCATCTTTTCATCTGTACATACTCATCATCACTAGTCAAGTTTAGGTTGTGGGGCACATACTCGAGACAATAGAGAAGAGTCTTGAGGGTACTGGACGCCATCTTACAGTATATATATATATATATATATATATATATATATATATATATATATATATATATATATATATATATATATATATATATATATATATTGATATACATGTGTGTTTGCAAAGAAGACAAAGAAAAGTACGCGTACGGCGCGTGCCGAACCGGGGTCGTCTACTGCATACCATTATCATGCGGTCGAGCGTACATAACAGAAATTAGCAGATGCCCTAATGACAAGACAAGAGAGCAAGCGGTGACACTAGAATGAAGCCCTGCGGGAACTTTTGCCTTTCAAAACACCACTGTGATTGCGCGGGCACAGAACATGACACGAATAACTCAGCAAGAAACAACGACAGCATAACGCGCGAAGCTTTAGAAGGCATGGTCATCGATGAAAGTGGAAAATCATGCGTCAGCGCTTCTTTCATATGCTAGTAATCTAAAATGAAAAAGTTTGATGCTCACGAACAAGCATTCTGGGAATCAGTGAGCCTTTTAATCACTACCAACTGCCATAAATATGCAATGAATTTTTCAATGAACGTTCAGTTGCTATTCCAGCGGTGTGTCGTCTTTGTGTCCTCACCAATGTTGCTAGCTGGAACCTCCTCACTATGAGCGACCAATGGCGTGAGGCAAACGCAATTCTCCTACGTAAAGTTTTAACCAGCTTCACTTCAGCCATGGAACATCGCTTTACCGGAATCGTAACGGCATCATGTACAGCGATACCCGCAGTTGAACACAAGCTGCGCTGCAGGCTTCTATTTCGTTGAAAAAGAACTCTAAATGAAGCATTGACATTTACCTCAAACACGATGGCAAGCACGGTGCTTCGAGACGCAAATGGGCTATTCACGGCAACACAGCAATCGAAATTCACAAACACTATCCCACCACTTCGCTCTACATTGCTTTTAGTCAAAGTTGCCGTAGTTTCAGCTTGTGCTTTAAGTATAGCAGATTGTCAATAAATTCGCCGGCCAAAGGTATAGCAGATTGTCAAAAAGTTTGCCGGCGAAAGTTTTGTAAAATAATATGGTTAGAAATCACCTTCTGTAAATGTGATCACTGATTAGTGCGCATGTTTCGTTTTGTGAAATTGTAAAAAAAAACAATTGCTTTATATAAAATTTCACGTTAAATGAGGCATACTGCTTTTTAATACGATAATAGGCGCTGGGCAGACACATCGTCTTTGAGATGTTCATTCCTACTTCGTTACTCCAGTGCGATGGTGACGGGGCACGTGAATTGAACAACATCGATAACACCCTTGACGGACTGGAAGATGCGGAATTCTTTGCCTCTCTAGAGCTAAAGGGCGGATACAGACAGATACAGGTAGATGAACGAGATCGCAAAAAATTGGCAAATCCCGGGTACAGTGGGAATCGCTTATATGCGAAGCACAAACGAGTAACAATCATATGCCACTTTAAAATCAGCACGACGTTACGATGTCCTCATTATATTGTTTGAATGTGTAATTTACCTTCGTCGTCTACTCACTTCACGTGATGCCAAACTTGGTATATGTGAAGCTACCTAAATGGTCGGGAGTGCTATATAAGTGTGGCATGTAGTCATGTTCTGACATGAAACGCCTCTCATGATTACGATGTTTGCACTAGTCATGCATCTTTATTTATTTACAGCTCGTTCTACCAAATTTGGTACATCTGGGGCTAGAAAAACAGCCGCAACGCATCATGAGCGTGGCATGTAGTCATGTTCTTATATGACACGCATCTCATGATTATCTTGTTTGCATTAGTCATATACCTTCGTCATCTAGTCACGTCCCGTAATACCGCATTTTGTATATATGAAGCTAGCGAAACAGCCGTGACCGTATCATGAGCGTGGTATGTAGTAATGTTGTTACATGCCATGTAATATCATGCATGGCATGATTTATTTCAAAGTTAAGATCTGTCACTTGTGCTCGCCTTGAAGTTATGTGACACTATACCAGTTTTTGACCATGTCATGCGAACGAGACCACCGCAAGAGCAGCAAAACCACGAGATGGAAATCATTACATTCATCACATAGATATCATAATTTTCATGATATGACTCATCATTATTGTTCGTCATACAGCCACGTTATGCCATACCAGTCTTGGTATTGGTACCATTATCAAAACGGCCAGGAGAGCTAAAAAGATGTACGTGGCTAAATAGATAGATGATAGATATGCGCTAAGTTGCTGAAGTTCGCTAAGAAATGATTCGCATTTAAAAAACAACTTTTTCCACCTCAGATGGTTCGCCACAGGGTCGAAGGAAATGGACGTGCGTTGCGTCGGCTCCCTGAAAGAACCATTTTTTTTCACGCGGAAAAGACAACGGCCGGTTGATAAAGTGCTGCGTGTGTTTGCAGACGTGCTCAGAATCCTGTGGCTACCATTCTCAAGACTGTAAATGCATTTCAAAGGATTTTATTGCGCCTTTGGTGTTTAGCCACGTCGTGCGTCTCGCCAACTCTACCGTTCGGCCTAGCGCCGAGGCGGCCGGAGCGGCGTCCGAGGGCTCCAAACGTCGGCTCGTAGAACGTCTGCGGAGGCACTATGACGATGGAAGCGACTGTTACCGGTACAGATGCCGATGTAGCAGAATCGCAAAAGCTCGGACTAGGTGACGAACGAAAGTGACGAAACGTGTGGCGGAGCTTCAAGAGATTCAACAGCGAAAACGCGATGGCGCCACCCGGAATGGCGTCTACCAGCAGTATAGATGTGGGAAAGAAGGCAGGACAGTGTCGGCCGGCTGCAATGGCGACAATCATGATGTAAGTGGAAGACCCTCACATAATGTGGCGGGAAAAAAAGGTCGCGGAGCGGTCAGTAGCGCACCTCCCGCGTCTTCTGAACGCGGACCATGGTATCTATCTTTAAACTGCCTAGCTAGTTTGAAATAGCTGAGGTCTACACACGATTAAGGGTATAATGAAAAAAAAAATGTATTACACGCACATGTACACTGCAACACACGTCTTCATTGATCAATTTCAATGTTCAGACTGCCCCACCTAACCAAATTCTCTCTTTGAAGAGAAGGCAGTGCACTCTTTTCTGTCTGGGTTCGCGCTCCACGGTGAGTCTGGCTCTCGTATGTCAACGGTTCCGTTTTCGTTCGCGGTTTCGAGTTCTGGGAGAAACCAACATATGTAGATTGTTACATCGCATGGCGTTTGGAGCTCTCCTACTTTGTAACATCTTTCCTCCAAAAATGAGCCTTGATCATTTTGCATGTGTCTCCAAAGGGTAGAGGAGTTGTACCGGACGTCGCAGAGTTATTCCAGTGGAATATATTGGTGCGTTTGATTTTGAAGTGTGTCTGGAGGAGAAATATTTTAGTGATTCCGAGTCCGAATGAGTCTTGCTCATGAAAGTTTTGTTGGGCCTGAGTCTGCGTAAGCGCTAAGTGTAAAATATATTTCATAGGTCCATCTGAGTGAGCGCCTCAATTTTTGACGATCTATGCATGCGTGTTTCTATGTGCCCTTTTCCATTACTTGATGCTCGTTGAATCACGGGCTTGTCAGTGATTGGCCTTAACTGATCGGGCAATCTGATTTCTTATGTAGGTCAAGTGTCATTTCTTGTGGGCACGTCCAATGTAGGCTTTCATTGATACATTTGATCGTTTTACGCATGGCCTTCGCTGTCTCTTTTGGTAACAATAGTGTTAGCTCTTGCTAAGCACGTTTCATACGAGTTTCAATTCGTCCGAGTTTCAAGAACATACTTAGCACGTCCTTGAAACTCCTCCAATTTTCGGTAAAGGGGAAAGAAGTTAGGAAGGAGCGTTGCGCAGTGTGATATGAACAAAAAGGCTGATGTGTCAGCTACGCCCAAGCTAAATTTTGCTTCCACCATTTTTCAAATAAGAGGGAAGTCTCCACATTTTTTGTACCAATGCCGAGTGTTTTTTTCAAATTTTTTTCACGTCATGGTCGGAAATACGAGGCTTCCAAGGAAGATAATAAAGAATTTTCAACAAAATACTTACAAATTGTTTACAATACCTTGGATCACTTTTGTTTGTTATCGTATATTCATTGTTTGTAGAAGCACCGCAGTGGCAACTGTAAATGTACAAAAAAGTTTTTGAACTAGTGTTGGCAAGAATAACGCTATATGCATTTCGCGACAGTTTTGTTTCCCATATGACCTTCCTTAAACGTTCACGTTTACGGAAGGTCATATGGGTCATATGGTCATAATCGTTTTTCTATCATGGAGGAAGAAAAAGCTGGAAAGGGGCATTAACATCACGCTCTGTGAAGTCGAGGTGAAGGCCAGATTTTCCTCTCTTGTTTATATGTGATTAGTGAAGTATAGGGTGCAGGTCTCCTTCTCCGGATCGAAAACCACATGTGCTGCACAGCATGCGCGTCGTGGCAATGCGAAACCAACAGAACGGGGCTATTCACGCTGAGCCAGCGTACAGAAACATACATAAAAAGGGGACACTCTCGTAGGGCTCTGCGGCCCTGCTACTGCGCTGCTTTCAGCGCCACAAGTGGTTGGCTAGACCCGGTATTGTGTTCAGCATAAATAAAATAACATTTTTTCGTCCACACCCTGGGATTTTAACCGGGACCATGATGCTCCGAAGGCGAGTTTCTTTACCACTAGGCTACACACCTTTTTTCTTACGTCTTTACTTCACCAGGCTACACACCCATGCCTCCACAAAGTGAATACATGTACAGTACATCTAAACCAAATGTGCCTCTTTGTACAAGACATATGCTAAAACACAACACTTCCTAGTCATACTTCGCTTCTTTCTGTTGTAAGGCATTGAATGTCCTAAGTGGAACATGGTGTAGAGCGGATATAATGATATTGCACAAGTTAACGAAATTTCTTCTTTGCGAAAAATTGAAGTAAACCTCAACTCTGCAATTTTCTCCTGAGGAGGCTATTACATATATTAACAAAAAAGTGAAAGCGAGCATGGGTACGTCATCTAGCGGTTGGTCAGACCCTTTTTTGCTTGGCCGTGAAAAGGCCCTAGTGGCCGTTGTTTATATAGTATATTTTTCTATGAGGCTAGTGCGATACCATTGGTGAAATCATATTGTATACGAGTATGAACAGTGAGTAACAGCTTACTGACAAGAAAACAAGCAAAAGACGACGGTTGCGAGATGCACCGACTACGACGAATGTGGTGTAAATACTTTTTTTTCATTTATCCACGCACTGCTTAGACAACATGATCGGCCATGCACCGCTTTTTATGGTTTCATTCCGCTCTTCAAGCGGCTGAGGCACGCCCAGTCATCGCTTCACGTAAACGCTCACCGGCGTCAGCAATGTGCAACCACATTGATCTCGTACACTGTGCAAACACGTAAGACTTGAACGTGGTCGCTCTAACGCTGAGAGTAGACTGCTTGTAGGCGAGCATAGCAAGCGAACTATAAAATGCGTAATACGCACATTCTGGTTGTTACTGGGCACGTATTGAACACGAAACTACATATGTGCACCTGACGTCGTGTTTGCGTCTTGCAGAGCACAAATGTTTCGTTCGTTGTCAAAAGCAGGAAAACTGCGCAAACAACACTGACCAGCATGGCGTTTATCGAGGTTTCGTGGTTTTATAGTGCTCAAATGCAGTTTCGCTGAGCACTGAGCATATACTTTATCTACCGCATGACACATAGATAGATATACGTGCTTGTTCTACGCACTGTTGAGGCACATGCCTAGTGATATGTTATGCAAACGTTGCTAGGAGTACAATAATCACCTGGGGAACACTGCGCAGCTAACGCGTTACAAACCACGAATATTGTTCGTCACGGCTCCGTGTGAGACCATACCACCACCGCTCACTGTTAGACTAGCTACACTGCACAACGCGTAACCATAACAACGCCACGATTGCGTCCAGCAGATACCTTTCCACCACACTTTTCACCTAGCACGCCGGCTGGGCATGCCCTGTCCTTTTTTTCCCATCCTCCATGTGTTAAACGCAAAAAAGTCCGCCGTTGCAAAAAATAAATAAAAAGCTTTTGTCAATATTTTAACCATTGATCTCTCCCAGCAGAATAACACTGCTTAGCCATTGTTCTCCACATTACACTATATTATTTGACTTAGGTCGCAGTTGTAAAAAGGAAATATATATCACCTAAATTCACGAGATGACTACGTCATAGTTATCTCATAGATCTCAAGTAGTTACAGGTTGCGTAATTTCAAAGATATGACATACTTATACATGAATCCTGACACTTTTTAAATATGTTGCTAAACTATAAACATGTTGCGTAGTTAATTAAATATGTTGCTGCCTTGCTCGTACAAATATTATTCGACATTTTTGTCTTGCTATTATTTTATTTCAATGTTTTATTTTGGTGTTCATTCATTCATATTGGTATTGGTGTTCATTGTGGCATTTTTCTTCATGTATATTTTAGCCGGGGTTTTGTTTGTATCCACTATACCCCATATGCAACTTTTTTTGTATTCACTTCCACCCACGGCTGCGTAAGGTCTGAAAACCAAACTGACGTTATTGTAATTATAAAATAAACAACTAAATAAATCCAGCAAGCAGCACACCAGACAAGAAGCATTTTTTTAGAAAACGAATATAAGGCGTGAGAAGATGGCTGAGAAAGTAATACGAAGAAACAACAGGACACTGAACTTACGTTATTGAGCATGTTAATCATGGTTTGCAATGAACTAAATACAGCTAAATGTAGGTTCATGTCTTATATTACAAAACAACTTCGCGGTAAGGGCGATGGTGTGAACTCTATCACAGAAATCAATAGTGTTATAAGAAGGAAGTCTCGAAGTTCACTCTACTTAGATGCGAACCATCTTAGAACAGGGTTTCATGCGGTGTGCGGCGTGACCACCCGTACTGCGCATGCACATACCCTTCCCCTCTCTTCTCTCATACACACCCTCTTTCTCGGCACGCAAAACCAACACAGCCTGCGTCGCTAGCCTAAGCTCGCCCAGCCTTCATTTTCTTCTACGCACCCCTCCCCACGACGTTTACACCACCATTGCGCATAAGCGTCTCCTCCCTCTCTGTCCTCTGCTATGCTTCTCCCCTCTCGCCTCGCAACGCCGCAGAAGGCAGAATCTGCTTACAAGTTTCTTGACTGAAAAACCGACTGCTCGCGTGGCACAACCGTTCACTGGCCGCATATATAGACACTGGATCGTGACTTCCGAGGTAGTGCCTGTGGCAAATTTCTCCCTGCGTTGAAATAAGAAAAATCGTGGATTGCGCGAGAACTGAAAGCGGACTGCGGGTTCCTAGGTCCAATTAGTTTCTTCTGTCTCTCCTCTGTCTCTCCTCTAACTGAGGCCGGAAATAGTACGAGGAAAAAATGGGACATCATTAATTCCTTTTTAAATAGGAACCCACGTTCGGAAAAAATAGCTACAGTTCTTCATAATGATGTCACTTATAGTGATCCAGCTGACATCGCCGATCAGTTTGCAAACTTCTTCTTTAACGTCGAGCACACCCTACCTTTATTAAATGAAATGGCCTTAGATCGCTTACCCCATTCGTTCTTTCTGTTTCCCAGAACTCCAGATGAAATAATTAGCGTTATAGGTACCCTAAAAATGACGAGTGCTGGCCTTGACGGCATTCACCCCTCCCATGCAAAAATGGTAGCTCACCTTATATCAAATGTATTCTCTTCAATTGTGAATTTAATGTTTAGAACAGGTGTTTTCCCGCATGAACTGAAGCAGGGTAAAATAATCCCCGTACATAAAAAAGGAGATGCTTCGTTATTGAATAACTACCGCCCCATTTGCATCTTACCCTTTTTGAGCAAAGTAATTGAAAAACTGATCTGTACACGTCTCACAAATTACCTAAACAAATTTAATATACTATCGCCTTGTCAATTTGGCTTTCGTTCTGGCTACTCCAGTGACCTTGCGCTAATCTCACTTACTGACCAATTAAAAAAGGCTATTGACAACGGTTACTATGCGGGCGGTGTTTTCAACGACCTAACTAAAGCTTTTGATTCAATCAATCATCACATTCTTTTCAATAAACTTGAAGCATTTGGTATAACTGGCCCAACATTGCTATTATTGCGTAGCTATCTCTGCAACAGGACACAGAAGGTGGTAATTTCTAATGCATATTCTTCAACCAAATTAACTAATATTGATGTACCCCAGGGGTCCATTCTGGGGCCCCTTTTGTTTTTACTTTATATTAACGATTTGCCGAAATGCCTTTCTTCATCCAGTTGTATATTATACGCCGACGACACCACAATTTTTAACTCCGATAGCAGTATTACATCCTTATCTGGAAAACTAAACTTTGATCTGGCACAGCTCGTTCGGTGGTGCAGTAATAACATGTTAGAAATTAACACGTCTAAGACAAAATTTGTTGTCTTCTCTTCCCCACAAAAACCCTTGCCTTCTATCCCTCCTGTTATAATTGCGCGCAATGACATCCCTGTGAGCGACTGCTGTAGATTCCTAGGCGTTGAACTCGACAGTAACTTGAAATATCACCGACATGTTGCATATATTAGGAAAAAAATGACGTATGGCATTCGACTACTGATTAAATCTCGTCTTTATTTCAATCCATCAATACTTATGTCACTGTATTTTTCTTTTGTTCATTCGCACATTTCTTACTGTATTACTTCATGGGGCAACACATACACCACTCATGTTACTTCAGTTCAGACAATTCAAAACCAAGCGATAAGAATTCTCACATCAAGCCCATATATCTCTAACGCTAAGTCACTACTTCACGAAAACAATATATTAACTGTATCTGAGCTAGTTAAATATAACCTTGGTATTTACATGTATAGAACTATAAATAACCAACTTCCACATTTCACTACCATTCTCTCAAATAACAATGTCACAAGGTTTGCCCTTAACAATAACTTTCTACTGCCAAAAGTTCGCACCAATTATGGCAAACAAACCATTCATTTTTCCGGAATTTCTTTTTGGAATAGTTTGCCTTCCGACATTAAAGTATGCCGTTCCCTGAAGGAAATTAAATCGAAGTTAAAAAATCATATCATGTCAAC